GGCGGGGGCGGACCCCCTGGCCCCTCCCCTAGATCCGCCACTGGGTCTGTCACTTTATCTTCGATGAGGGCAATACCTCCATAGCGTGGTTAAGCCGCTCCTTGCGAGAAAGCAGAATACAACCTCTGGCACCCAAGGCATTCTTGCATTGGCCCTCTTAAGAATTCTGAAGCTACAAATAACTATAGAAAATTTAAATTTAGTGTTGCTGCAGCTGTTGTGGCTGTTTTTGAATTCTATTTTAATTCGAGTCGAGCTACTGCTCCTCGTCCATACTTAAGTATTCGATCGCTACCGGGCACTCTTGTACCATTGTGCAATGATAAAAAATTTCACCAGACTCTTTTTCATGTTTCTTGGCCTACGACTATCGCACGATTTCTTACTTAACTCGCCTGCCGGACAATATGCATTACGAATGGTCCTGTGATAACAAGTGTGTTTATAAATAATGCAGATAATAGCTGATAATGTTACGTGGTGAATTTTAAGTTCCTTGAATAAATGTTGAAGATGGATGTTTCGGCTTGTCTCCCCTCCCGAGGAGGATCTCATTCATGGCGAGCTTGGAATTTATATGCAAGACGAGTGTCATACATGAACCGTGTAATGGTCCAATCTCACCTTGAGCCTCTCTGTAGGCTAGGAAACTCAGAATTTTCATGAATTTCTTTGTTCCATTTGCGCGACGTGACGCTTCACAAATTAAACACAGTCTGAACATGTCTACCAAAAGTAACCTATAGCTGATGCACACGTTCAAATAAAAGAAAGAGAAAAAATAAAATCTGCATAATAACGTTTACTCGCCACGAGAACATCAAATTCCTCAAAATTAAGGGCTTTTTCGAACGATTACACCCATACAGGAGGACGAGGTAAGTAAATTACTGCAGTTATGACCAGTTTATTCCCCATTATTCACTTACATTGATGAATTGATCGACAAATAATACGTTACACCAAATCCGTACATAGTTTGTTTCCATATTCCGATCTTCTCAGAGGGTCTCAAATGATTGGATACAAGACCAAGCTTTTAGCAGTCAATAAACTTCATATAAATGGTTGCTGCAAATATCATGCAATATCATTTCATTTCGATAACATAATCGTTTTTGAACATCCAGACATCCGTGGACAAGAGTTAATTAAGTTCCTTTCATGCATCGCTCATGATTCATTCCGCGGTTGTAAAGTGCTAGTTGAGCCCCTGAATGCCGTTGAAGAAAATATTCTCTCGCAATTACGACTCTGTCGTAACGATCGTTAGCATCCATCTAAAGTCAGAATATTTTCCATCTTCCAAGAAAAGCCTTTGCTGGCCAAATAAAAGAAGAGAAAAAGCAGAGCTTTTGCTACTTTGAAAATCAGGCCAGCGCTGCTTGCCAGCGTTGATATGTTTCTTTGTTTAATTTTAAGCAAAAGAGAAGTTCATTAATTATGTTTGATATGCTTGATTTATGCTCTCTGATACATGACGCTGGATTCCAATGGATTGATTTTTGATGTTTGCGAGCAGCATTGGCTGAACTTTGTTTGCTGGCCATTAAATGCAATAAAGATAGGTTATAACCACTGAATTGGCCGTTTATTTTCTTGTCATTTTTACTCAGAAGGAGTGAAACTCGGACGTAACCAAATACCAGTTCCCAGCAAGGGCGAGGGAATACCCACAAGATAAAATCAAAAAGACATGACAAAGAAAGGCTGGTTGGTCAGGGGTGGAAGAGGGTCAAATCTTGCGAATTCAGTCTAACTGAAAAGAGGCTTCTCAGATCTCTTCGAGCGCTTGAAGCAAAAGAGGCCTCTACCAGCGCCTCGCGCGTTTAAATACGAGATTGCAGGATTACCGGAAAATCCCTCGGCTGGGAACTGGGATACGTCAGATCCCAGTGATAAATTTTCTAAGTGTTTTTCAAGCCAATCAGATTGTAATTCTACGTACCAATTTATTATATTATGCTACATTATTTCTCTTAGTAGAACCAGAACGATATAACGGCAACCGTGTGCGAATACGTGATAGTTCTCCTTGTGCTGTGAAGTGGCTACCATGAAACTGCATCTTCTCCGTGTCGCTTTGCTGTTTTTCCTAAATGTGCATTACTGCGATGGTAACTCGGTAAGGCTCTATACAAAAACCTTATCCCCCAGTATTCTCATCATCTTAACACAGTTACAATCGGAGTGTTAAGAGACTCTCAGTGAGGCAGTTTACCTATCTAGATATCAAAGTTCATAATGATAATAATGAACTTTCACTTTTTGTAATTATTTGCATTGCATTGATTAAGAACTGAATGAGGTTACCGTACAGTTTGTTCACCTCCATGCGAATTCTCGAAAAAAATCGAAAAAAAAAAAAAATTGGATATCGTTGTTTTTCCATTGCGTTTTAGCCATCTGAAAACGTGAAATTTCACTTTCACTAGTTGGGTCAGCAACCGCGGGGGCTAGGACCTGGGACTAATCAGGCTGTGACGTCAAAACAAGAACGTTGGTCTACTTTTGAACCAAACAATAAGAAACGAAAAAAAATAAATAAATAAATAAACAAATAAATAAATAAATAAGTGAAAGATAAGAAAGATAAGTAGAACTGCGTTCTTGCTTTGGCATCACAGCTTGAGCCTAAGCCTCTTTGTCAAAGCGAGGCCTAGTACACAATCAGTCATATGAAAATGAGTTTAATTAGCCTGTGAATGAAATGTCGAGTTATATGAATGGATGAGTACCAAGACTCGCTTTGATATAGAGACTAAATGTAATTCGGAAATGACCTATTGTTTCATCGAAGACTGAATTTTCTCATAAATACTTTGTTACAATTTCTCCCACCTCTAGTGCTGCGGTCTTCAAGGCCCGCCAGGACAACCCGGGATTCCGGGAACTCCGGGTACACCGGGTACCCCAGGAGCCCCGGGAGCCTCAGGCTCTCTGACGTCCGTGTGTTGTCCGGGATCCGGTCGACGATGGAAACAGTGCGCCTGGGTACACGATAACACAAAAGATGACAGGGACAGTGGACAAGTACTTGTAAGGATACCAGCATAGAGATATTTAAGAATAAAGCATGCAGACATGTACATAATGTCTTGTTATCGCATGCATGTTCATAAGCTTGATATTAGGAGCTCATGACTTCGAATATCAGTCGAGTTTCAACTAATTTGTATATTGATAAGGACAGTCCATTCGCTGATATGAAGGACCATTGAGAAGATCAAAGATGACCCTAATATTTGCTACGTCTCAAAGGCTGCTAGAGTAAGAAGGGTTATAGTCTGGATACGAGCCAAGTGGCCCATCAGGCCGGCGCTTATCTCCGGTTTCTGTAGCATGAATTGACTGGGGGTATTTTTACTGCCTCCTGGATAGGATGCTAGCCCATTGCAGGGTTACCCCCAGCATTAAGTTTGACGGTGCACATTTACACACCTGGGTGGAAAGAGGCACTGTGAGAGTGAAGTGTCTTGCCCAAGAACACAACACAATGTCCCTGGCCAGGCTCGAAGCCGGACCACTCGATCCAGAGGCGACCGTGCCTCGACGCTAGAAAAAGTAGACGCACAGTCTTTTATTATTGAGCACGTCAGTTATTTTAATTCACGCGATTCGTTGTTTGCTGTTGCAGAAATGCGACTTTGTCAAGTTAAGAGACGATTCATACCTTCGTGTGGTTTACATGGGTAATATTCGCATCCAAGGCTGTACCACATGTTGTAAGAGATGGTACTTCACGTTCAACGACGCAGAGTGCACAGATCCTGCCCCCATTGACGGTGCACTGTACCAAAGCCTAAACATTGACATTCATCGACCCACTAATATCGAAGGATACTGTGGTGGCATTGCTGCTGGGAAAGTACGCGTCGGTTTCAGCCTCGGCAATTGCAAAGTTTCATTTAACACTAATGGTGATGCATTTACAGGTTCTAACCAGGCCAACAGGATCATTATTGAAGAAGTGGAGCCGCCAGTTGCTTAAATCTGCCAAACAAATCCTGTTCCGATTTTATACGTACCTATCAATAAAGGGATGATTATCAACTCGGAAGAAGATATATTTTTCCAAGCCTATGAACTTAATTGTATTCCATTCCCTGAATTGTGATTCCACGTTAAATTTCACGCAAAAAAACCGATATCGCACGAATCGCGAAGCGATGAATACGATATTGGTTTTTCAAGTGAAATTTAACGCGGAATTCACAAGTCAGGTTATGAATTTTCTTTTAATCGCATAGCCTTCGCAATTTCACGCTGAATACCTCGCCTAGGTAACCAATCAGGGTGCGAAAATTCTCTGAGCTATGCAATTCTAGGAGAAATAACATCAAAAGGGTCTTTATGCCTAAGCCTTTGAGGCGGGATTATATACTTTGGGCCTAGAATAAGGGTAATTCTCTCCCAGAGAGGAGGGGCGGTGGGAGTCTCTTGTTGTCTCTATGTTAGCTGGAGGCCTTTAATTCTCGCGCGATAACAAGGCGATTGAATTTTTTTTCTTTTTCCGAACTCTTTCGACCTGTGATCGTGGTCATGTATTTAAGAAATATACGCCGCCAGCTGTACTCTGCCAAAGTCGGAATCATTGATAAGTTGGCACAATGTCTCGATAGCAAGTAAACAGAAAAGGATGTATCTAGTGACTTTTTCTCAAAAGGAACTCAGTTACGGTATTTTGAGTTAATTACCTTTAAATTGAAGGAAACCTGAAAATAGTAGTTCACTAAGATAGGAAAACACCAAAGATATAGTAATAAACCATAAAGGAACAAGGATCAAGCAAGTATCAAGCAACATGGCGTCAAGTATCACGGGTTTACGGTGCTCCCACGGTGCTTTTTACTCCTTATATATGTTGTCCTCTTCACTTTTTGGCCTCAAATACCGCTACTTCCAACTCAACGTACCGATAGCAACATTTTACACGTTGCCAGAGATGTTAGCCAGCCAAAAGTGTACGATTTGCAACTTTCAAGGAGGTCGATTAACTCTTGCAAGACGTCGCCATCGCTAACAAACAGGGAACTCGCTGTTGCTAGCTGCCGCTTAGCACGTTTAGCGTCGTTCGCACTTCTACTTATTTCTCTTGCCGGCGACGTCTCACTAAATCCTGGCTCTGTTACACCACCAAGTCTTTCTGTGAGAGATTTTACGCAGTGTCGAGGACTAAAGATCGCACATTTAAATATAAGAAGTGCGTATCCCAAACTGGACTCGCTAAAACTTTGGTTACTAAACCAGCCTCTTGATGTGTTTACTTTATCGGAGACATGGCTTAAACTATCAATCACTGATAGCGAAATCCAGATTCCTGGCTATTCTTGTGTGAGATCTGACCGACTTCATAAAGCAGGAGGAGGAACTATGGCCTATGTTCGAGATGGTATTCCTTACCGACTTAGAACAGACATTGGTGCTTCGTTACCTGAATCCTGTGTCATTGAAATTTCTCGATCTAAATGCAAGAAATTGATTATCTGGACAATCTAGAGAGCGCCTGACACAAACTTTGAAACTTTTAGTGAAGATTTAAATAGATCTCTGTCTTCTTTGACCGATAAGAGTGAGTGAACGTTAATTTTATCGACACTAAGATGAATAATGATAAGGCCAAGAAACGCAAACTTCTCAAGGTGACAAATTCTCACCATTTAGACCAACAAATTAATACACCAACAAGAATAACGGAGAAGTCATCAACACTTA